TCGGGGGCTCGCCCTGGGAACGGGGGCGCCGCCACAAGTTATCCAGGGATACGAGCAACCCGGCCTGGCGGGGGTCGGTGGTCTCTTTTATCGGCGTGCAGAAACTGGTGAAACGTAACGGAGTGGCAGAGAGCGGACTTGACCGTCTCAAGTCCTTTTGTCTGTGTACAATGCTTTTAATGCCAGTTTTATGAAATAGTCTTACCTAACGTTAAAAATAAGAAATGAGTTTAAACCCTAGCTGAATTTAAAATCTCAACACCTAATAAAATCCTGTAACTTTTAAAATGCTGTACTAACATTGCACGGTTTGTACAATTTGTATTGTACAGTACTAATATCGGCTGTTGAGGTCTGAGAGATTTCTGGACCACCAAACGGCTGGAAGGCTCGCAGCAAGTAAGTTTCCTGCTTTCTGACTGAAAAGCAGCAATTTAAATCCATTCTTCTCATTTGCTAATCCTTACAGTTTGGGGTTTTTTTCTGTGTGGCTGCAAGAGTAACACAGTAATTGTGAACTTGATAAACTGAAGTGCCCTGTATGGGGTTGAAATATTTTTATTAGGCAGACTACACAGTGATGAGGTGTAGATCTGTTCAGAAAATGTATCATTTCGGCACAGGAAAACAAAGCTGTAGTACGAGTTTGCAGGACTATCTCTAATAATAAAAGTTAGCATTCTTGTGTTTGCGCATCGGTAAAGCTTATAAAAACTGTAACACGTGCCTGTATTTCTCGACTTTGCCGAGAAAGTTGTAAAACAGCCCAGCTAATAAACGCAAACAGCATCAGGGATCAGAGTTAATCAGAGAGATGATTAACTGATGCTGCACAGTCTTTATGTACAGCTGTAACGCATTCTAGCCATACTGCCTACTGCAGGACTGAAATATGCTTAAATGTGCAGTGATTATGTTAGCATAAACCTGTTCTGCATGCAGCAGGACATAGCAGCAAACTGTTTTCTGTAAAATAAACTGTTGCTCAGTGGTAATAGTATGTAAATACTCCCAGTTTTCTTTCTCAGTTACAAGGATGTTTATTTTTCAGTTGATCTCCTAAACAGCAATATAGCTGAAAGCATAATTACAAATGTGTGTCTATAAGCTTAATTAGTGTTTGTGTCTGGAGTGAAGTAAGGAACTTGACTTGGCTGTGAAATCTCATGGATCTTTCTCTCTGGGTTAATTTTCAGGTAGTTCAGTTTCCCCATTTGATTTACCTCGTGACCAAAGTCTCATGCAAAGGTATTGTAGGGACAGAAACCTCTTCAGCAGTAATGCTGCTAAAGTGCTAACCATGAGCTCAGTTTTTCCACTGGAAGAATTTTAAAAAGCATTAGTAAAAACACTTTGTTTTGTTATTTACTGATTCATAATACTCTATTTCGAGCTTTCAATTGAGGAAAATGTGATATAAATGAAACTAATCATTTCATTACTCATGCAGAGGATAATGTTCCTATGATGAAATGTAGTAAAGATAATAAGATTCAGCGG